TTTGATTTAACATCAATTGTAGGAAAAATAATGGGATCCCAACTAAATGAGAAAATGGAGAGATATCTTGAAAGCAAAAATATCATAAGGAATGGTCAGCATGCATTTTAAAAGAAAAATTCTTCCTTGATCTATTTCATTAAATTCTTTGAAGACCTAATAGAGAGACTTGACATGGGCAATGCAGCAGATGTAATTTATCTAGATTCCAAAAAGGCCTTTTGATAAGCTGTCATAATTGCACAGGTATTCTGATAGGAAGATAGTGATTGTTGAAACACAGACTAGAGGTGCCCATCAGGAACATACAGACATCCTAATGCAGCTGACTCCATGGATATTGCCCATGAAATTGAAATTTCAGATGGACAAAGTCCCAGCATCCTGAACCCTCAAAAAAGTCCCCAACTCTGAGATAGAGCCAGAGATTTCGGAGTGCTTAATTTAATTAGCTTTACAATTACCAAGAAAAGTTAGAGGAATGAAAATCTGCTCTTACTCCTGACCCCCAACACACTATAGAGTCCTCCACCCTCTCATCCACACCCATTCACCCCCACACCCACCCAATGGCTCACTTGTTCACCTTTCCACAGATATCAAGCATCCCACTGGCTGACTGATCCAGCCTGAATTGTAAAGTACAGAAGATATGCTAACCTTGTATCAGTCATTAGTTGGACCACACTTGGTACTGTGGTCACTATGGTTCTGGTTCTGGTCACTATACTATGAAAGGGAAATAAAGGCACGGTGAAAAATTGATTACAAAGAAGAAATTTGGTATTACCAGAAGAAAAGCATGACCAGCCTCTGTCTCTCTTCTTTTGTAAAAGGAAGGCTGAAGATGACCTAATGGAGATCTTTAAAATTATGAAACTTTTGATACAGGGAATACAGAGGGACTGTTTCCGTTTATTGGGAAGAGCAGAATTAGAATTGTTGGCCCAGATATTCTAAAAGCCAGGTAGTGTTTCTGAAGTGTAGGTGGGAGTAGCGCATGGGGAACCTGAAAAATCCCCATCACAGGAAATTGAATATTCCACTGGGCAATTCCCTTATGCCTGGAAGCCTTTGAAAGCATCCATTTAAATTAAGAAATTTGGAGGGTTCTGTGGAAGTAAATCGTTACTCAGGAAAAGTTAAAGTATTAAACCTAACGCCTGAGCAACTATTAAATTGAACCCCCAACTTACTTCTCATGTCCCTAACTACACCTACCCTAAAACCTTTACACTCCAGGCTGTTCTACATTATGGTGGGCCTGTAAGAATGAAAGGATGGTTCCGTATTTGTGAAGGAACCCTGATCAGAATCTCCTATAAGAAATTCAGAGATCTTTTGTTTCTTCGAGTGGACTGGTAATCTACGTGAGATTGCTGGTCTTTGTAAAGTCTTGCCCGTAAATATACATGGTAGTCACAGACAGAATTTAGAAGAAACTAAATTCGGAGATAGTGTCAATGTGGAACTTGTGGTCACAGGGATTCATGAAGGTGAAGAGCTTGGATGTATTTTAGGAAAACTAGATAAACGCATGAGGGAGAAAAAAATAATGGACTGTGCTAATTAAGTTAGATGAAGCTTCAGAGGAGGCTTGAATTGGAGCTCAAAATGCCAGACTCAATGATAGATTGAGATGAATGGCCTGTTTCTATGCTGTATCTTACAATGCAAAAATTCAATCTTCCGTGCCTTTATCGGTTGAAATAACCTCTTTCATATATTTTCAAGATATGTATGAATGCAAGGTGGGACAGAAAATGATTACTTTTAATAAGACATAGAGCTAATTTTGTAAGACTCACTTTGAGTGATGCCAAAATAGATCCACAAATTATTCAGCTATCTGTGCTGAATTGTATTCAAGAAATATTAGTCTTCTAATTCCACATCTGAGGTTTCTCCCATATTCGGGGCAAGTCAGATGATAGGCCAGACATTTTTGTGGCATATGTTATACTGTCCATTTCTGGATTATATTAAGGGTTAAAATGTAGAATTTTGCATTCAATTTAAGGTGAGAAGTGCTTATTGATTTTAATTTGTTTTACTTCAACAGTGTGCTTATAAGGAAAGCTTGAACTCTTGACCATCTTAGAATTTTTTAGAAGCAAGATAGCTTTGAAGTTACGTTGGACAAAATTGCTAAGGATGAAGCTAAGTCTAGATGAAAACCAGTGGGTTTTGGTTTTAAACACAGGTGAATGAGAAGAATTGCTTTAGACATCCAGTCTGCTACGTCCAACCAAATAACTCACGGTTGTATGTTTAGAGAGAGAAGAAGCAGTTCTCGAGAACAGGGTAGGATCAAGTCATTTAATAAGGAAAGGAGTCCGGCTATAGAACAGATATCATGGGGGTGTCGACATGTTTCTCGTATATCACAGGTTTGGCTGTCAGATATACTTCTATTTGGACCAGTAGACCTTATTGGTTAAATTATACCACAGACTTGAGCTGCAATCTGTTCAGCCAGATCCAAAGTAAAAAGGAACTGCCTTCCAAAATATAAGTATGTTTAAAAGCCGATTAGAGTAAAAGGCACAGTAAAACCAAATTCTGGTCAATTGGGTCTGTTGGTTTGAGTTTAAGGTTGAAGCTTGCATTGTTTATAATAGTTACCTTATGTGTTCAATGTGCCTACTTCATCATTGTTGTGTTTGTTTTATTTAATTTTATACAGAATTTAATTATGGAGTCCTGAAGCTCACTTTCTCACCCTTAGATCTTCCATGCACTATATTCTTTAAATATTTATGGTCTACCAAGTCAGATCTCAAAAAATTTCTCATTTTTTCCAATACACTCATGACTAGGATTATGACATAAATTAGAACATAAAATTGCTTGGTAGTCCAGAAGTTAAACATTGCTAAAATGAGACAAGAAGTCAAAGCTTTTTGTCTTACACTCAGTTAACTGTCAATCTTTGTTCTCAGACTAGGCAGGTAGACATTGACTGGTCAGGGTGATGCTTTGAGAATGCAGCAGAGATTGGCATTCTCTTTTTAATCTCCCAATAAAAAAGGTGTAATGTATGTATGAATTACTTTTGCCTTCATAAAACAGGGTCCTGTGTATTAATATACATACCCTTCAGCATGCACATTTGTATCACACTGCAAGGCCAATTGATAATCTTAAATTGCTTTCTGGTATAATTCTTAGCACAGTCTGCATTTAATAAATATTGTTGAATAGCAGATTCACATCTAATAGTTGAACAGACTGTTTTAAGGCTGGTGGAGTACAATTGGCATGATACCAGCTGCAAGTGGTAAATGGGACATTTGATTGATGCAGTACAATAATAAGGACTCTCTTATGCTGCAAAAATTGGTAACCCTTTGTTGAATTCAATTTCTTCCATCCTCTTCTTGATTAATGCAAGACAAAAGCTTCAAGTTCTTGTTTCTGTTTAGCAATATCTCAGTACAAAAGGAATTACCAACCCTAACATGTTCTGAGGTCTGAGCGACCTCAGCCTCCTCAGTGTCTTGGTATCTAAAGTCTTCATAACTGGTCTTTCCCATTCTTGGCATCATTCCTGAAAAATATACTGTCTGTACGAAATGGTTTTAATATCCTACATGTATCTGGTTGCCCAAAACTGTAGACCATACAACAATGTGTGACTTCAACAGGAAAAACTGTTGTAAAGAAGCTTCTAATGTTACAACACCCATAACTCTTTTTATCATCTAGATTTTGTTGGATGATTGTTTCCTCACATCATCATGCCTTTGATGCAAGACTCTGGTTCTTTGGTTTATTACCTTGAGCTACTCTTGAAAGCCATTTAGCTACATTCAGAAGTGTTGGAGTTCTTTCTGAGAGTCCATTTCTGAAGAAATCTGAGAAAAGGTTTTTAATTCACAAGCTATGATCTGATGACGTAGAGCAAGATGGAAAATGGATGCAAATATGACCGATGTTACAGTCCCAAGTTCTGCATTGCAACGATACTTGGAAAATGTTCACACTATACTGGCCTTAAATGGATGTCCACCTAAAACCTACAGTAGGTTCCTTGCATTTTCTAATGAGGAACTCAATGTTTGCTTTAGGTCCCCCATAGAATGCTGGGAACTTGCAATTTTCTAGGCATAGGTCAGGGTTAGAACCTGGTCACAGTGGACAAAGAAATGTAACTTTATTTTCAAAAATTATTGTTGAGTGAGGAGTTTTACAGGAATCTTGCCAAGGCAAGAATTTCCCTTTGAAAACTTCCAAGTTTGCCATTCATTTGAAGATTTCTGATGACATGGGACACACCTTAAAATTTACAAGTTACAACGGGCAAACTACTTATGGAGATTTTCCAGAGAATGGACAACTCACCTAACCTGGTGAAAAAGGCCTCTTTTCTACTTTATAATATCACATTGTAGTTCTGATGTTGGAGTAGAAGCTAAACAGGTACAGAATTTCTGGACTGACTATCAAAAATTAGTGACATAACTAGATTAGCTTTTTTGCTACATGAATCATAAAATAGAGACTTTGTATAATGATATTCCTCAGGAGACTTAGTTCATACAGAATTTCCTGTGAAAACGACTTGTGAGCAGATACATAGCCAGTAATTTTCAAGTACTTCAGTTAATTATGTTTGAATAAGTTTCCTAATTCTTCCTTCCTGGTTTAATTTTCAAATAAATAGCATACTTATCAGTAGAACATCTGGCTGAGGAATCTAATCATCAGTGAATTTACACATACATAGTTCTTAAAAACAGCCTTCAATGTGACCACCCCATTGGCTGGACACAAAATGTTTTTAATGCATTTGTTAAATTTATAAACATCTGACAAATTAAATTTATGAACAAAGTTTGTAAAATGCATTATAAATAAGCTGTTTTAACCAGGAGCTTGCAGGCTTGTTTTTATCTTCAACAGTAATATTCAATTTGTATTAATTACATTCTAATTAATAATACAATACATGACAGGCACTGCAGTTTTGTTAATTGTTAAGATATTTGATTGCTTACAGTTTATCTGCTGTTAGGTGGGAGACAAGTTGATTTTGCTCTTTGATTTTTGCACTCAAAGTTTCATTTGCCTTCCTGTAAAATATAAAATATGTAATACTACTGCACAAGTATGATAGTGTAAAATCTAAATTCCTGATGAACTTATTAAAACAGAAAACATTTGTAAACTTGTTTTCCTTTAAATAGGAATGGCAGATATGTTTAAACAAAATGCCAATAGTAATCTGGCACACAGTAGACAATTTAAAGCCTGTTTTTTTTAATCAAATGATTTAAATATGTGTTTTTCTTACTCTGTGATCAGAAGTAATCTGATTGAAAATTTTTTCTGTCATCTCGTTTGCGGGGGAAGGTGTGGTCAAGTGTGTTGCAATTACACAGAAAAAAAGTCCAGAACTTGTGTTAGGGATGTTTCCGTGGGTTTAGAAAGGGGAAAGAACTGAGAAAAATTCAAACAAAGAATTGAGCAACAGATTTAGAAAGTAACAACACGGGCTGGATTTTATCAAATGAGTTGATATCTAATACAGGGGTCATCTGTGAATTGTGTAGCTGGCTCTCAGGAGGTGATTTTCCATTATGCAGCCGCTTAACATTTGGCCAAGGATGGCGAGTGGGAGCTGAAGCTGGTAGACAGTTTGACAGCACAAAGTTTAAGGGTCATAAAGGTTGCATATGTTAAGAGTGCAAGTAGAAGTAAGCCTGTGGAGGAATGGCTGCAGTGAAAGGAAGGAAAGCTCCTCCCTTTGGCAATGTTACTCTGGATATGCTCCTGCAGTTAATGAGGAAATGGAGAAGACTGGCATGCTGACAGAGTGGCGACCCTCATGCACAGCAAATATAACAGAACAGTGAATGGATGCCACAGTTACAATGAGTTGGTGATATGGCTCAGAGGCCAATATAAAATGTCTGTGGTGGCCCAGGTAATGCAGAGCAGAGCAGACCATCTGCTTAAGCATTGAAACCATCAAAAAGCCCAATGCCTGTTTGATGGCCACCACAGCAGTCATATGGCAGCAGTTGTGGATCTCCTCTGCCTCTTTTTTGGGGTTTCACATGGGTCTTAGCAGCCAGATCTTTAACGGATACCTTTCAATCTAGGATCCATCCACAAATGTGTTCTGATGGACAAAAGATTTGAAGCACATGTTTGTCTGAGCCATCTTGTAGACACCTTGAGAACCTTTTTGCCATGGTTACAAAACATTTGAACATTGAGCCAACAGAGGTCTTTACTGGATATTAATGTACCTGCTCTGTGGGTTCCATAATAGTTACATACATACTGTCTATAAACCCTTGGACCTCAAGAAATGCTGCCATGACCACAAATCTAATCATCGTCTTGGCCTGACTGGTCTGGCACAAAATCTAATGTACCCTTCTGTCCTCTCAAAGAAGGCATCTTTCACATGCTTGATGCGAGATTGGTTGGTTTACTGAACGATTCCACAATTGTCTTGAGATTATCCTTGGAAAAGCCTGATACAAGAACACTGGATCTTAAATTCACTTCCACAACTACAGGTAATGGGTGGCTGTGGACACAATTTAATTCCCCTCTCTTCCAGCTCCTAGGTGGCACTGCTCAGACTGAAATAGGGATGACATGAAATTGTACTGGGCTTTACCTGGTAACAGATCCTTCTGAATTTGTTACTGGGGGACGGGGGCCCACGTCAAACCCTATTAAAAGTCAGATTTAAGCTTTAACACATGAACATAAAGGAGGATGCAAGTGTACTTGCTGCTTGTCAAGACAAACTTTCGGAGGCAGTCAGACTCACATTTATAAAAGAGGACCCATAACAGATGCTACTGTGCTCAGCATAAACTACAAACACAGAGAATGCTGAAGAAACTCAGCAGGTCTGGGAGCATCTGTAGAGAGAAACAGAATTAACATTTTGAGTCTGGAATGACTTTTGCTCAGAACTGACCGCACAAAATGACTGCTTTTGGGGCAACGCCCAACAGAGGATGGAACCTAAGTTTGAGGAAACAAGGACTGTGAACAATGGAGGATCATCGAATCACCAAAGGGAACTTTCTGAAGGAAAGACGATCTGATTATGATCAAATTGTTAAGCAAAGGGGACTTTGTTTAAGAGGACATTGGAAAGTTTACCTTGGTAAAGCACTGAGAAGGGATCCTGTTAGAGAGGAGGAACTCTAGACTTTAAACTGGAGACTCCATGTCAATGAGGAGTAGAGAATAATGTATAAATATAACCAAAAACCTCTCACATTGTTAAGACATAAATGGGATATACAGTAATTTACAAAAAAAAGGGCCCATTGTCTTCTAAATAGTGTTTTGTCTATGTTGGTTTTAGTGTATATTTTAGAGTAAAAGTCATAAAATGAGAGATAGCAATTTGTTAAATTGATATGGCTTTTTGAAAGTTGTTGATCTCTGTGGGAGCATTACAATCATGATCTCTGGACACTGCTTTCAAAGCTAAATGGTACCATTGATCCTTCAGTTCTCTGACCTGACTCTACCTGCTTGTAAATCCAGCAGAACTCACTAGCTACTAGTTTCCTCTGCCAATGAACTCTTGCTTCCATTGTGCAGGCAAACAACTGAGACTTTACGCAGGTCAGAAATGATCCATCCAACTTGTTTAGAGATGTTATTATGCACCTCTGGAGTAGGTGGGACTTGAATACAGACCTCCTAGCCGAGAGGTGGAGACACTACCACTGCACAACGATTGCCAATACTTTATGGAGCCAATGCCCCTCATGAAAACTGGTAAAGCTTGTGTAAAATTGCGGTCAATGTGTAATTAAATGGGCTCAATTGAATGACTGCAGCTGGTCTGTATAGTGTTGTCCCCACTGTCAGATTGCCCTGGGAAACTCGGTTAGTGGCAGGAAGACATTGAGGATCCACTCTGATGCATTCTTCTAAACTTTTACTAGACTGCGGCTCTAAACACATCACCATAGGGCTGGTAAATCCCTTCCCTCTTTTCGAAACTTCGAATAGGAAAGGAAGCACGGTGATGCAACAATAATTCGCAATAGAAAGTTTCTTTTAACATGGTTCCAGTCAGTATTCCTAATATTACATAGTGAACTCTCTCCTGTGTGAAGCATACTGCAGCATTTCATTTCTTTAATGATGCTCCATAAAGGCAAGTTGTTGTTTACTGTTTACCCCAAGCTTCTTTGCTCCAAATTTAAAGCCCAATGTTTTAGTCATAAAACTCCTCCTCTCTTGAAATATTCTGTTGAACTACTCTTTCATTTTCTGTCCCCAGTTTCAAAACTCTGTTGTTTCAACAATCCCACAAGATATTACGTATTTGAGTAGTACCACGGAAAGATATTATTAACTTAGAGAGGGTTCAGAAAAGATTTACTGGGTGTAATTCAGACTGGAGGATTTGAGTTATAAGGAGATGCTGGATCGGCTGGGGCTTTGTTCCCCTGGAGCGTAAAAGTTTGAGGAGTGACCTTATAGAGGTTTATAAGATCATACCCAGTATAAAGGAAGATGGTTGTGGTTGCTGGAAATCAGTTACCTCAGGTCCAGCAGGAGCACCCTCAGGGTGGTGCCCTATACGAAATGAGCTTCAGCTGCTTTCATAATGACCTTCCCTTCACAAGGTCATAAATGATCACACAATGTTGAGCACAGTCCATAATTCCTAAAATACTGAAACAGTCTGTCTACAACTGCACCAAGACATGGACAACATTCAGGTTTGGGTTGGTATTGTGGCAAATAACATTCACACCATACTCCATCTCCAACATGAGAGAATCTTCCTATTGTTCCTTAATGGCATTATCATTGCTGGATCCCTATCAACATCCTGGGGGTTACTGTTGACCATAAACTGAACTGAACCAGCTCCATACATACTGTGGCTACAAGAACAGAGCAGAGGCTAGGGATTTTGTGGTGACTAACTCATCTCCATATTTTTCAAAGCCTGTCAATGACTTAGAGGATGCAAATCGGGAGTATGATGGCATACTGTACACTCGACTAGATGACTGAAGCTCCACCAATACTCAGGAATTCTCCTATCTATTACCTTCACAATTCAATCCCTGCACCACTGATACACAGTGAGTATCATGTACAAGATGCAATGTACTAACTCACCAAGGGTCCTTCCGCTTCCAAACCTGTGACCTTTACATCTAGATGGATAAGAACAGCAACTGCATGTCAGGAGCAAATTCCCATGCAAGACACACACCATCCTGATTTGGAACTGTATTGCCATTCCCTCACTGTTACTGGTTTACAATCCTGGAACTCCTTCCCTAACTGTATTGTCATTGTACCTACATCACATGGATTGCAACACCTCAAGAAGACAGCTTCTCCACTGGTTTCTGAAGGGCATTTAAGGATGGACAAAAATTGCACCTTAATTCCATGAATTAAAAAAAGGGAAAACTTTGCAGGGAAATGGAGAAAGAGCTAGGAACAAGACTAATTGGATAGTTCTTTCAAAGCGCTGTAGAGACACAACAGGTTCAGTTGCCTCACTGTAAGTTTAATTCTGACCATGATTCAACACCAAATGATCTATTTTAAAGAAATCAGCTGTCACAAATCAGGAATAGAATTCTCCATCTTTGTATATATTGCTGACAATGTAGAAATCCAGTTCAAGTTAATATGATTTTAAAAATGTTATTCCATGCTAGAATTTCCTTCATTCATTATTTTAACATTAAGCAGACAAACTGATGTTATATCTTCTCTGTTAGCAAAATAAACTAAAGCTTACTTTATGAAGATTCTGGGCATGAGCGCTTATTCGTTTCTTTCTTTAGTCTGTTTGGAACAGATTCTAAACAACTTATGGAATTTGAGGCATGGCTAAATTTAATATTTAAAGAAAGTAGATCTAAAAGGGCAACAACAGCAAATTCAAAAGCAATTTATAAAAAGACACAGGACTGATAATTTGACAAGTAGGTTATCACGCGTGGGGTTTACGAAAAGCAAAACCCCTAAGGGACGTGATGCAAGAAGCATATGAATTTGTTGTTGTTGTTGTCTGCTCATTTTCTTAATTCTGGTGTACCACCCCATG